TAAATCTTGATATAAGCATTAGAAGAAATAAGTATACCCTAATGATTGTAATAAATAATATATTCATAGACCATTCAATGAGTAAGCATCAAGAAATAAGTCAAGGACAATATAATGAATTGAAAAAATTACTAAAGGAAAGAAGAATAACAAAACAAATAAAGTATTTGAATTTTGAAAGGATGGAACTAACATTAAAAAAGACACATATATATAAACATATTAAAGAAAAATTGATAAAGATATTTTGTAAGGGACCTAAACAAAAGATTTCTAAATAGAAGTTACTATGGGAAAGAAGAATCATTTTTTAGAAATAATTATTAGAAAACTGGAAGAATTGTACATCACCCAAGAAAGATTGATTGGTCCTATATATATCTAGGCATATTTAGATAAACAACAATATAATCAATTGATTAAATGGAAAATAAAAGATAAAGAAACCAAGATACAAATAGAGGAAAGTCAAAATATATCAGAAAATACCTTACAAAAATAATTCAAGAAAAGGAAGAATCAAGTATTGAAAAACATTTAAGAAAAGATAAAGAATTTATTATATTAGGAATACAAGAACAATTTAATGGACAAGCCATGTTGAAACTAAGGGAAGATATAAGAAGAATTGCATATAAGATTTTATTAAACAAGGAAAGCTGGACTTGAGTTGTTAAATTTGAAAAGGAACACCCAACATATGTCAAGAGGGGACTTGTACATGTATTCTTAGTAAAAACACAAAAAAAAAATATTGTAGGGATGAAACAAAAAAAGAAATTTTTAAAGTAATAACTGAAATAATTAAGAATGATGATCTGAAAACAGATTTAAGTGCCACAGAAATTGATGATATTGGGCTAGTTAAATACAGTATATAAGTAGTATAGACCAGGAAAAATATTAGAAACAGATAAAAATGGGAATACCCATTAGAGATAATATCGAAAGACAATACTTTGAACCAAGTATTCATACTGAAATCCTACTAATAATTGAGGAGGACAATGAAAAAAAATATATCATGAGAATAATGGGACATAAATTAAACATTTATAAGATAATTTCTAAAGAACAGAGAGATACTCTCATAAAAGATGTCCAGGGAAATATATGTCATTTCAAGCATCAAGTTGATGAATATGTTACATCATGAAGAATCCAGGTACAGATAGATGTGAGAGAAAATCAGAGGACAATTGAAAAAATTCAAAAGATATTGGCATGAAAGGTCTAAAAAATTATAAATAAATGAGAAGTGTGAGAAGGGATAAAATAATTTTAATAAAAATAGAAAAACTTATTGAAGATAATATTAAAAAATGTTATTTTGAATCAGAAAAGCGTGATCAGGTATTGTAACAATAAAAGAAAGGGATAATAGGATATATACAGTAAGGGTAAAAGGATATAACTTAAATATTTATAAATTAATTAATACTTAGGAAAGAATTGAACTAAGATATGAAGAAAAAGAGTATGCAACACGTTTAGGTATTAAGAAGAAAAATGATATATGTTGGACATATATGACTGAAATGATGATTAAGTCTTCAAGGGATCATAATTTTGTTAGGACAGTAAAAAGAATACTTGAAACAAATATACTATAAAGGATATGTGTGTACTTTTTGTTGTAAAAAATTATAAAAAAATAATTGAAAGAATTTTAAAAATACTTGAATATACTAAAGGACTTGAAACTATTGAAATTGAACTTTTGCTAAGACATGATAAGAAACTGAGAGAATTAGTTAGTAGAGTAAAAAGATGAATTATGGATAATGATACAACCTTTTTTGACTTTTTGAATTCAAAAATAAAAATAAATCCTATCTTTAAAATCCATTATGAGAACCCAATACCATAATTAATAATTGAGTGAAAGTGAAGATTGAAAGAAATAATGTATAGAATGAACTGACAACAGAAGAATTATTAATAAAACACTTGGATGATTATTGGATTGTGTTGGAATCTTTTGAGAGTTGGAGGTTACAGCATGCAGCATTATTGGATCTTATATGGATAGACAAAAGGTTTTATATAGTACTCTTATAATACATCTATGATGAAAATTATATTTTGAAGTTATCTCACATTCATACTAATTTCTTGAAAGAATTGACAACTAATGTGTATGAAGTAGAGAAAATGTTTGCTCCAAGAACTTGGAAAAATAAAAGAATAGTTAAAATAGTTACATTTAAAACATTTAATAACTTTTCAACATATATGGATTTCCTGAAACACTACATAATTTTTATTATGAAAAAATTGGATTAGAGAAATATTTAACAGAGCTGGAAGGAGAATGCTGTGCAGAATGTGAAAAAACCTCAAAGGACAATATAATAAAATAAGGGTGAATCAAATTAAAGAACTGTACACTAATTATGAGATATCTGTAGCCTGGGAAGGAACTACATCACATCCTATATTCAAACAATTGGAGAAAATGGATAGTAATCTTGAAATTACTTGTGGATTCTACCATATTTATTGCAAGGAAAAGAAGATTAGATATATTAGCTATAGAATAACAACAGAAGAATTCATGGAAAAAATTTATGATAAAATAGAGAATTGGAAGAAGAATATATTGGCACAAGTAATAATGAATGCATTTGAAAAAGAAATCATTGAATAAAATATAAATATCTATCTGATAAGTCAGGAAGAATAAATGAAAAATTAATCAACCATGACAACAAATAATAATGTGATAAAATCTTCCAGTAAATTATTGAAGAATTAAAAGAAAGGATTGATAACTGTGAACTTTCTGCAAGGAAATTGAAAAAACATGTCAGATATAATGATATTGAATTGGAGAAATACTCAAGAAAAAGTAAAAATTATATCCATTCTTTGATATTGAAGAAAAAGATAAAGACTATATTAATGAAGATGATGTAGATCCAAAGAAGATTGGAGTAGTTGTTTGGTTGAAATAGTTATTGAAAAGTTTTGTTACCAAGAAACAACTATTAGAAGAATTGGATAAGGAATGAATTATTATTGAACCTTATGGCAGTTAGAAAAAACAATATGAATTAGCTCTAAAAATAATGGAAAGGAATAAGGAATTATATAATTTATTAAACCATTTGTGTACACTGAGAAGTACTTTAAGATAATTAGAATATTAAAGAAATTGATTAGAAATAATTTGAATTTGATTGAAACCAGATATCTAATGATCAGGAAAGACTCAGAAATGTTTCAGATAATCATAGCAGAATGAATTTGTGAAGAAGAAGTTAAAGAAATATGAAAGATATATGATTGTTGAGGATACTCAGAGATTATCAAAGAACTTAAAGAAATATTTGAAAACAGGAAGTTAATATTTGAAAAAATACAAATACAAAAAAATAAATGGGAAAAGAGTAACCCAGAAAAACTCACAGAATATTATAAAATGAGTGAGGATTTTGATCATGTAATTAGTATAAAAAGCAATGATTATTAATTGAATAATAGGTCTTTAATTAATTTTAGAAAGGAAACTGTAATGATTATTGTTGAAAAAATTAGGAAAAGAAACTTTGTCCATAAGAATATAGAATAAATTTTATGAAATTTTTGAAAAAAAAATAAGGGAAATAAAAAATAATTAAATTGGAAAAATTATAAAAACATTATTAAATAATTCCAAACTTTTGTAAGCTATCATATATATCTTATGTATTCTTTTTTATATCCCTTTCTTGCAAATAGGTGTTATTCTTATTGTGGTTATTAATTTAATTCAGTATAAATACCTTATAGATTATATATACTTAGGTCTATTTGTTGAAATTTCATTTTGCAATAAAAATTGAAAAAGGAAAAGTCCATCCAACTATAGTAAAGATTATAAATACTTTAATTATTTTTAGTATTGAGGTTATTTATCCTTGATAGTTAAGTAGATTTTAGTAGTTTTTATAGATAGGTAAAGATTTATTTCACTTTTATTAAAATAAACAAGATAGATAAGAGGTTTTTTCCAGACAGTAGGTTTTTTATTCCTGATTCAGGATTTGTAGAAGGACTATAAACTGAAGATCTATATTAAAACATTTAATACAATTTCTTCTTAAGTATGGCTATCTAAATCATTAGTAATATTTATCAATCTTATTTTTCATGAAAATACTTGTTAGAAACTATTATCAGATTGAAAGATTTCCTAAAGACTTAGTCTAACTTTGAAAAAGTTATGTCTTTTTAAATAAACAATTTATACTTGAAGCTGATATTATCATTAGGATTAAATTATTAACTTCCTTACAGGTTTTAAGATATCTTTTTTAATTATAGGTCTCATCTAATCTTTGGATAAATAATTCTCTAGATAGATTTTCAAATAAGATAATATTAACAAAGTTGGTTTTTGAAACCATTCTCTTCCTATCTAAAAAGAAGAAAATGTAAAAGAAATTCTTCTTCTCTTTCTTTCAAAGATAAAGAGGTATAATATTTTAGCAGATAATCTATAGGTATTGACATTTTTCTTAATATTAGTTTCAGTGAATAATTAGTAGTGAAAGAAATTTAGGTCTTTATCCAGTAACACTCTGATGTTTTTTTATATTTCTAGTACTAGTTTAAAAGTAATTTTAGATTGGTTTTCCTTGATTTGAAGTAACAAAATATGATCTAGTAAATTATTTAATTTTAGGAAGTTTAATAATATTCTTAATAGTTGTAGTAATTTCAATATATTTTGAATTTATTCTATTATCACCAATAAACATAACTAAGCTGGCAATTAAAAAAAAATCACTTTATTAATTTCTGACAAAAGTCAGAATCCAATTACTTAATTATATACTTAAATATCCACCCCAAAAATAGATGCTTCAATCTGCCTAACTGCGGGTTAAAAAAAAAAAAAAAAAAAAAATATATATATATATATAGCTTCAATCTTCTGTCACGTGAAATATGTTGTGCCACCAAATATAAGATATTTATTAGCGATGAAAATATGTAATTAATCAACAAAAAAGATGCAGTCCAGCGATTCACGAACGTACTTTGAAGAAAACAAAACCTGGTCGCTGATTGCCTTTTTAAGATACAGACGAGACGCGCATGATTTTACAAAAGATAGACTTATAGAACATAGAAAGTACAAGAAAGAGCTTGAAGATATTATTTCAGATAACAAGGATTGTGCTCAAGCCAAAAAATGCCTTGTTAACTTTGAGGTCATATATATATATCTATTATTATATTATTATATTATTAACAGAGATGGAAACCCTGAGTGGCCGGCTGACTGCGCCTTAGCCGGTTATTGTGAACTGCGACTTCTCTTGGGGAATAGACTGCGCCTCTATTGCCATGATGCAACTAGGAACTGCGTCTTTCTGGTTGTTAGACTGCGTCTCGTTTCATGGCATACATCTCTGGTTATGATGATAGCTTAAGAAGCCTTGGTTAATTAATTATACTAATATATTTCTATATATAGTTCGAGAGAATATCTCCGGCTGTCGAAGCTTTCTGGATCTCTGATGAAATCCAACTTACAAAGGTAGGTAAATTAATGTCTATATACTTATTTTAATGGAAACCGATTAACAGTGTTTGTTAGTTAAATTATGCAAAATCTGCGTTGAGTAAAACCATTGACGAAACGCAAAAAATACGTGAAGTTGTATCTGTTGAAGTGATAGACACGATAGGAAATCAAGTATGTGTAAGTTTCCATCACACGATTTGTTATCTTTACATCCTATAATGGGCAAAGTTTCGTGAGTATTCAGAAATTGGAATCTAGTTTAATGACCCTTTAGCCACGGAATTTTGTTTTTTTATACATCTCTTAGTATGGGGAGACTTCTAAAAGGACACTCAGAATTCAGAAACCTGTTGATTACAGCGAAAATTTAAATGAAACTAACCTTTTTGAGTCGGATCATGAAGAGAAGGTAATTAGTACCGATGTAAATTATGGCACATGGATTAATATTAAAAGATGTCTGTAAATTTTAGCAGGCGATTGATAAAAGAAAACGGCATGAATTTGAATACGATGACGTAAGCTGATATTGGATTGATTAATTAATATGCAATACGTTTTGGTAACTAAAGCGATATATTTTTTATTAGTATGAACCAAGTAATAACTCTTCTATTTCCTCCGATTCGGATAATCAGCAGAAAAAGGTATGTAATACCATTAATATCATCGTAAAAAAGTTACATGTAAATCAATGTTAAGAGACACTGCATGTAATTTTAGCATAAGATAAATAAAGAAAAACAATCTAAATCAAAAGTGACTGAGATATGGTGACAGGAGCGTAAGTAACATGGATTATTTTAGTTAAGATTTCTTAGATATTTGTTAATATTATTTTTTTATCATTGGTTATATTGAATACTGACTCACAAATTTAGATTAATGAGAATGAGGATGATCTAGCACCTACGACAATGATTACCAGTTCTCTAAATATAGCAATTTCACAGGATTGGCAAATCAAGACCAATTATCGTCTTTATCTACAAACCTTATCATACAAACCCCTCGGACTCCACCGCCAAGGTTTAATGCTAATAATATACAGATTACTCCTCAAAAGCCGGTGCTTCTTAAGGAATCCATTACCTTTCTCCAAAATCATATAAATATAGATGTAAATGATCGAGGAATGATCGTAAAAGATAATCATACTTCGGAAGAAATCTCTGGTATAATTCGTAATTGGCTCGTAATGACATTAACAGTAAGTTATCATAAATTTCTTTTAGATATTAAAATGTATATATTAAAATCTCTTTACTCTAGTCACCGAAAGAGGAGTTTGTAAAAGCTATAATGACTCCTTTAAGCTCAGAAGCAAGTCCAAAAGATCACGATTTTCGTCAAATCTGCGAGTTTATCCTCTATGATTTGTATGTGTATTGTTTTACTCACGAATCCTTATTTTTTTGACATTATAATATTACTGATATGCTTGTTATTTTATAATGATTCGATTAGTTATTTTATGACAAAGAAAGGTCCTTTAAAAAGAGATATTGGTGAGCGTACGTTTATTGTCGAAAGGATCGTTCCCCTGTTCAAAGCAATTCAATCGGTATATAATGAATACAAATTTCATTGGATCGAAGTTGAATTGGATTGTATGAGGGAAGTGAAGAAGATATTCCCCAATTTTGATTTACCTATAAACCAAGCTGATGGTCTTGGAATGCGGAATTCGAGCAACAAAGCGGTCGTTTTTATCGAGGTATTGGGTGGGCCTGAAAATACAGATAAAAAAAAATTAAATGAAGATTCAGAAAAACTTCTGAAAGAAGCCGTGTTTGGTCTTGTTTCTCTATTACGAAATTATTTGGACAAAAGTGCAGAAGAATCAAAACAGTTATACACGTTCATAATTCGGGGCATCGGTAATTTATTTGACATTCATTAACTATTTTAGAACATAAATCTTACATGGAAATCCTTTTTAGGCGACCGGTTAACGCTCAGTAAATTATGCTTAATAAATAAGCGTGTTTACAAAGTTTCGCAGATCAAATCTGCAACCCTCCCATTCGAATTTATTGATGTGGCGGATTATTTAGCAGTCTTTGAATTCCTTTATATTCTTGTGGTAGGTATTTTTAAATATGTTGAAGACATTCTTTGCAGCTTCTTGATCCATCTTCTTGCTTCTTTTCTAATTTTTTTATCATGGCATTTAAGATCTGCCATCTCGAGAATAAGTTCACTTTTTATTAACCCTGCAAAGAAACTTAGCATATCCTGACTAGTTGCTGAGAACTGTTCTACTAGCCTGGATGTTTACTTGTATACTTTACACATTTCTTCACTGTCATTCACTATTAATCTAGTATTCTTCTTTTCTGTTTTCTTTTTCTTTTCCTGTGAAAGTTTTCTGAAATTCATCAGAACTCCTTTGAGACCTTTATTCCATATCTTCTTTATTTGTTCCTTATACACTGGACATTCTAGCAAGTGATTAATTGATTCTTTCTCCTGAAGATCACATGCAATACATTTCACTTGCTTGTATAGGTCTGGCCTTCTTATCATCAGCTTACTTAGTATTAATAGCTCATTATTCATTAGCTTGATCCGAAAGCTTTTTCTTTGACAATCCTTGAAAGATGTATCCCACATATGACTATTCATTTTCTCCCATACTAGATCCCATTTATGACCTTGTTGTTCTTAAATTTGGTGGCTCTATTTCCTTTCTGTTCTATTTTGTAATGTTCACTGATATGCTGTAGTCTTATTATTTTCTTGATGAATTGTCTTATAGGATCATCTAAAGTTTTGTTCTGCCACTTAATTTCTATAGGAATTTTGTATAAGGTAGGATTTTTTTATTCTATTGCTAAAAGTTTAAGAGCATCTACTTTATCATTATAGAAGTCTCAAGAATATGCCTTGATCTTGATAAGCTTCAAATCTAGATCTTTTTTTTTTATCAGCTCTACCATTCATGCCCATAATGACCAGTTTTTATTTTTTAGCCATTTTTTATGTGTTCTTTTTGAATCATCTTTCTTAACTATTTTCTACTTTGAGATGCAAACTTGACTATTTGTAGAGATTTCAATTGAGTTACCTACTGGAACTACTAGAAGTATTGTGACTATTACTATTAGTTCTGCACATGTAAATGAGACCAACTGTCTACCCCTGTTTAAAATCTACTTTCTTTTCCTGTATCGCTTATTTGGATCCATACTGTTCCTATTTTCATATTATCACTACATGATTTATTAGTAATCTATCTGAATAGAAGATTAACTTTTATTTGAATTCTAGATTATATTGAAGTATCTCTATTAGGTGATCTTGATATATTCCTTCTTTAACATTCTTTTTAATGATAATTTCTTCCCAACTTTCTATATTTACATAATCCATTTTAGTACCTTGAAAAGTGGACTGTTGGAATGGTCCCCACAAACTCTATACAAATACTTGATTGCTATCTATTGTTTTTCTGATTGCTTTTTTTAAAGATATTGTGTGACATGGAATTGTTAGCATCTGGGCTCTCCTAATACTTTTTCTTGTATTAAGATATGGTATTATATATATCTCTTCTATATCTTTCTTTATTATGCAACTCTGTTCTTGAATAAAATCTTCTGGGTAATCCATGCATTTAATTAGCTTTGCCTCGATCATTTTTACTATTCTGGTACTTTTAGTATTTGATTTTTGCTTTTCTCTTAGATTCTTCTTATAGTAGCTTTTCCCATATTAGTTTATGATTGGTATTTTTTTTAATTATCTATATTTTTTATCTTTTATCATAGTTAGGGCTAACTATAGAATATGTTGGCTCCCATTTTAGCCAATCTATTTTTCACGACTCTATAAGTTGATTTAAATGATCTTTGTGGAACATTCTACTTATATTTAAGAACTATTCTGAAATAGAACCTTTGCCAGTTTTTTGAATGAGTTCAAGCATGTATCAATTTTTTACTTCATTTGCTTCATAGTTAATGAGCTAATCTATATATATCAATTTATTGTTTCTTAGTGATGGTATGGTTTTATTATACTTTTCAGGTAAGAAATATTCTTGGATCAGACTATTTTTTTTTTCCCATTCAAAAATATTGTGCCATTTTCAACTTTGAAAAGTAATTCACATATCTTTAACTAACTTAATTACTTGGAGTAAAAAGTTGCCCTTGTCTATAAAATGATCTAGTGAGTCACAAGTCAACAGGTTGAGTAGTTTCTAATATTTGATTTGTGCTTGTTTGAGCCTTATAATTGTTGTGATTCCTGCTGATCCAAGATCATTCAATTTATTGCACAATCCTATTATTTAAAGATACTTTTGCTAGCTACTAGGAGAGCAAGATATTATTTCTTAAATTTGACTTAGAGTACCTAGTTTAGATTTAGTTTTATTTAGTCTGAACTAGTTTAGTGGACTTCTCATATTTTTTAAGTAGTATAATCCTTTAACTAATAATGTACAATGGTGAGTTAGTTGCTTTGTAAAAGTCTGTAAAATATTTAGATATTTTTCAATATTTCAATAAAGACACATCTTTGTAACATAATTGTGGGTTAAAAAAAAAAATTAATTTTTATTAATTTATAGTGATATTAATATATATAAAGTAACTATACCTGATAGAATACATCATTTTGATCTTGATCTTTTTCAATATCAAATTGAATATATCTGGAAGTTATTAAAAGAGTTTTAAGGTCTCTTACTATTAGATAAAATAGATTGAAGACTTGCAAAAATTCCAAAATTTCCAGAATTAAAGATTTATTTACATGGCATTCAATATATTGCAAGATTAACTGTAGATGAATATAAAAATTTAATGAAAGTTATGATTTTTGTAATAAATAACATATGTAGTAAAAATATACAAAATGTAGATATCAAATAATTATCAATAATTTATTAAGAATTGAATGAAATGTATATTATTAGTAGATATGAAGAGTTCTCTGAAAGTGATTTAAAAAATTTTGAGGTATGAAATATTTGTTTATATAACTATGTTATAAAATTTTTAAAATATATATTATAATAAGAATCTATAAATTCTTGAGCATGAAGATTTATAAAAACTTTTAAAAGATTTTCAGCTTTACAATTAAAACTTTCAAAATTATATTCATGGATATATCACATAGTCACATTTATTTAAAAATATGGAATTATAAATAGATTTACTTTGGATACCTATGAAAGTTTTCACAAAAAATATATTAAACAACTATATCATTTAAGTAATAAAAAAATATTGAGGATAAACTAATACAAAAAGTAAGTTTATAATAAGATTAACAAATTTTAAAATTTTAATATATTTTATATTATATAGAATCGAAGAAATTTAATAATTAACAAATTTTCGCAAAGCTCTAAGAACCTTTCAACAACTCCAAAGACATTTATATATTCAAATAAACTTTGGAAATTTGATTCAAAAATTTTAAACAATACAATAAGTAAATACTTCAAAAACTCTCAAAAAATGATGAAAATTTTATACTAGAATTCAAAAATCTTGAAAACTCTTTAAAACTATATTATAATTCTTTAAATATTTCTATAAATAATTTTATATTAACATATTTTTAGCATAACACTCTTCCAGTTGATCCTCTGACCATACACAAAAAGATGTTCGCAGAAATATTGTCACTTCTATGCTAATAAAGTCTTAATACTTTCTTTAAACCAACCTGAAGGGGCCTCCTTCAGAACTCCACTACTTCTCCTCATATTGTTTATAATCTTCTACGAACAACACTGGACTCTTGTGGCCTGCAAAGTCCGGCACTCACCTTGACTACCAATGGCAAGAAAGTTCCTCAAGGGAGAAGGACCAACGGCAAAGTACTCACTACCTATCAGATGAAGTAGAGGAACAAAACAGTACCTGTGAGAGGATTTCTCCCATTCAAAGAACTCATTTCCACTCTTCGAATGGTTGTGTGCCCTCTTAGAGCTACTACTTTTCATGGCTTTTTGGGGAATTTTGCCTATCCCAATTTGACCCTGAAATGTTAGGTAGCACAAAGTCCATCGATTCTGATTGGTCGATGATGAAACGTGTTGGACAAGATTGATAAACAAACTCTCATTGGCCACCTCACGTGTTTGAATGTATTTCCTCAGCTCCATAAGAACCTGAAATCCATCATGAGTCATGTGTTGGTATGGATGGATACAAGACACTGCAACCTCCTAAATCATTGGTCATCAAAGAAGAGTAAACAAGCCCACGGACTATCAGCCCCATGGACCACATGTAAAGACGGACCCGACCACCCACAAAAACACAAGAACCATACAAGACAGATTTTTAACAGATACGTAACAGGAGTTTTGTGACACAAGACCACGCTCCAGTCAAGACACAGGACAGATCCAAATATTTTTTCTTTCTCTTCTTTTCTTATTTTTTTTTTTCAGCGCTAACAAGGTCTTTAGACCTTGAATAAGAAACCCCTAATACCGGCTGTGCTGGGCATCTTAAACAAGTTCTTGGCATGTTAGTTCCTCCAAAAGGATAGCAACAGACCATCCGGTGGTATCCCTTAGGAAATGCCGGTTTACTAGGAAGGAACATTAGTTGTGTCCCATTAGTTTGGTAGTATGCATCTATCCTTCTCAACTTTGTTAAGAATTAAGAATAATTCTACACTAGATGGCAATATAGTTTCCCTATTCTGGTTGGGTGAGACGTAAATAGATGCCCTTTGTACTATTCGTTGATCTGTAAATCCTTAGACAGTATGGGTAACTAGTAATCCCGGTTGTCCCTAGAATGTATCTTAATAATTAATAAAGGAACCAAACTGACGCAAGGATGAGCTAGTGTTTAAAAAAAATAATAATAATAAAAATAATTTTATATTAACAATTTTTGAAACAGTTATAATAAAAAATGGTAA